ATTGTATATATTTTATTTTATTGAAGAAAATATGAATATTCATTTTGTTGGATCCAAGATCTATGATATAAATATATATCTAGTAGACATTACTACAATACACACTATATTTAAAGATAATAAATATTTTTCCTGCTTGACAATAGAAAAAAAAAATCAATGCTAATTTTCAATATTTAGTAGTACAAGATTAATTGAAAACTCTGAAAGAGTTAATATTTTACTACATTAAGAAATAAAGTAATAGATAATGTATTATTTTCTATTAAGTTTTAAAAAAATTTATTAAGTTTTAAAGATATTCGTCTGAATAGATATCATTTTGAGACAAATAATGAAAGAGACACTTAATAACTCTATATTACATCCACTATCTCAAGTAGAAAGTGTGCGTTAAAAAAAATTATTCACTCTGTTCTCAAAATTAAACAATATAAATATTAGAATAATTAAAACTCATAGTAAACCGGAAGTTCACTAATGATTTTAATGTTTGGCATGATCGGTTGGACCATCTCGGATCAATTATGTTACAAAAAAATGATTAAAAATTTACATGATCAATCATTGAAAAATCAAAAGATTTTTCAATCTAATAAATTTTATATACTGCTTGCTCTGATGGTAAATAAATTATAAAGTTATCAACAGCTAAAGTTAGGAATAAATTCCTTATGTTTTTTAATAATATTCAAGGTTATATGTGGATTTATACATCTACCATATGAATCGTTTAGATATTTTATAATTTTAATTGATGCATCGACTAGATAATCACGTGTGCTTATTATCAACTTGTAATTTGACATTTACAACTATTTGTTTGCAAGCACATTTTTCTAGTTATATAATCATGATTATGTGTCTTGACAATGCTGGTGGATTTACATCTCAAACTTTTAATATTGCATATTAGTTAGAATAACTATTGAATAGCCTGTTGCTTATGTTTATCTACAAAATGATCTAGCAGAATTATTTATTAAACACTTTCAACTGATAGCAAGACCATTATTTATGAAATTCAAACTCCTAATGTCTGCTTGGGGCATGCCATTTTAGATGCAGCAACATTTGTATGCATCAAGCTAAATGAGTTATTATAAGTTCTCCTTATACAATTCATTTATGCTCATGACCCAAATATTTCCCATCTAAAAATTTTTGAATGTGCAGTATATGTTTCAATTGCTCCACTGCAATGCATAAAGATGGGTTTTCAAAAGAGGTTATAAATATATGTTGAATACGAATCTCCATTTGTAATTAAATATTTAGAATCATCAATGGGAGATTTATTCATGACAAAGTTTCTCAATTGTCATATTGATGAAACAATTTTTCTAACATTAGGGGGAGAATAATAAGCAGTTGCAAACTATTCAAAAAATAATAATAATAAGCAGCTGCAAAAGAAAATTTTTTAGAATGAATTCTCATTATTTAGTTTTGATCCTCGTACAAATCAATATAAACTTGAAGTTCAAAAGATAATTCTTTTATAAAATATAGTAAATCAGTTACTAGACGTATTTACTGACCTAAAAGAATAACTAGATCTTATGAACCAGCTACAAATGCTCCTATTAACATTAATATCCTTTTAGGATAAGGCATGCTAAAAGCGTTGAGACCA